GATTGCACCAACTGCACACCAGCCTTGCTAACAGAGCGAGACCCTGTCTCAAAAATTTTTTTAATAAAGAAAATAAAATCTTCATAGAACAGTAAGTAAGGTCAAATTCAGGAATGAATCTCAAACTGTGAAATTAATCACAGGGACAGCATTAGTTCACAAGAGTATTCAGATTAAAAGTAGAGTAATTTTTCTCAAGATGTCAACTAAGCAGAGAAACAAGAGGCAGAAGCTGCAAAGCTCAGACCTTTTTGAAACCTGACATCACATTGATACTAGTCATTAGAACACACCCATCACTTACATAAACATCTTTTTTCAATTATCCTTCTCCTGTCCATCTGCCCTCTGTTCCCACTCACTGCTTATGAAAGATCAGAGCAGGAAAGAGCTGGATTATTTACAGAATCTGTGAAACAAAGTAAATGTTATGACTGTTCTCTTTCTTCCAAAAATGGAAAATTATCATACTTTGTTTTGTTATTAAGTGATAGAAAAGGCCCTAAGAGAATGATCAAATGAAAAACTAGAGAAAAATAACTTGTTAATTTAAAATAATTAATAGATCGCAAGGCAGGCCAATATTCAAGTCCAGGAAATACAGAGAACACCACAAAGATATTCGTCAAGAAGAGCAACCCCAAGGCGCATAATCGTCAGATTCACCAGGGTTGAAATGAAGGAGAAAATACTAAGGGCAGCCAGAGAGAAAGGTCGGGTTACCCACAAAGGGAAGCCCATCAGACTCACAGCAGACCTCTCAGCAGAAACCCTATAAGCCAGAAGAGAGTGGGGGCCGATATTCAACATCCTTAAAGAAAAGAACGTTCAACCCAGAATCTCCTATCCAGCCAAACTAAGCTTCGTAAGTGAAGGAAAATAAAATCCTTTGTGAACATGCAAGTACTCAGAGATTTTGTCACCACCAGGCCTGCTTTACAAGAGCTCCTGAAACAGGCTCTACACAGATAAAGGAACAACCAGTACCAGCCACTCCAAAAACATGCCAAATGGTAAAGGGAATCAACGCAATGAAGAACCTGCATCAACTAATGGGCAAAACAGCCAGCTAGCACCAGAACGGCAGTATCAAATTCACACATAAGACTGTTAACCCTATATGTAAATGGACTAAATGCCCCAATCAAAAGACACAGACTGACAAATTGGATAAAATGCCAAAACCCATCGGTGTGCTGTAACCAGGAAACCCATCTCACATGCAAGGATACACAAAGGCTCAAAATACAGGGATAGAGGAAGATTTACCAAGCAAATGGAGGGTAAAAAAAGCAGGAGTTGCAATTCTCATCTCTGATAAATTAGACTTTAAAGCAACAAAGATCATAAGAGACAAAGAAGGACATTACATAATGGTAAAAGGATCAATGCAACAAGAAGAGCTAACGATCCTAAATATATACGCACCCAATACAGGAGCACCCAGATATATAAGGCAAGTTCTTAATGACTTACAAAGAGACTTAGACTCCCACACAATTATAGGGGGAGACTTTAACACCCCATTGTCAACATTAGACAGATCAACCAGACAGAAAATTAGCAAGGATATCCAGGACTTGAACTCAGACCTGGACCAAGCAAACCTAATAGACATTTACAGAACTCTCCACCCCAAATCCACAGAGTATACATTCTTCTCAGCACCACATGACACCTACTCTAAAACTGACTACATAATTGGGAGTAAATCACTCTTCGGCAAATGCAAAAGAACGGAAATCATATCAAACAGTCTCTCAGACCACAGTGCAATCAAGTTAGAACTCAGAATTCAAAAACTAACCCAGAACCGCACAGCTTCATGGAAGCTGAACCACTGGCTCTTGAATGTTGACTGGATAAACAATGAAATGAAGGCAGAAATAAAGATGTTCTTCGAAACCAACGAGAATGAAGACACAACATACCAGAATCTCTGGGACACATTTAAAGCAGTCTCTAGAGGAAAATATATAGCAATAAGTGTCCACACGAGAAGTAAGGACAGATCGAAAATTGACACCCTATTGTCAAAACTGAAAGAGCTAGAGGAGCAAGATCAAAAAAACTCAAAGTCTAGCAGAAGACAAGAAATAGCTAAGATCAGAGCAGAACTGAAGGAGATAGAGAAACAAAAAACCCTTCAAAAAATCAATAAATACAGTAGCTGGTTTTTTGAAAAGATCAACACAATAGACAGACCACTAGCCAGATTAATAAAAAAGAAAAGAGAGAATAACCAAATTGATGCAATAAAAAACAATAATGGGGATATCACCACAGATTCCACAGAAATTCAAACCATCATCAGAGATTATTACAAACAACTCTATGCACATAAATTAGTAAACCTGGAAGAAATGGATAAGTTCCTGGACACTTGCCTCCTCCCAAGCCTAAACCAGGAAGAAGCTGAAACCCTGAACAGACCCATAACGAGGTGTGAAGTTGAGGCAGCAATTACTAGCTTACCACCCAAAAAAAGCCCTGGTCCAGACGGGTTCACAGCCGAATTCTACCAGACATACAAAGAGGAGCTGGTACCATTCCTTCTGAAACTATTCCAAACAATACAAAAAGAGGGAATTCTTCCCAAATCATTTTATGAGACCAACATTATCCTGATACCAAAACCTGGCAGAGACTCAACAAAAAAAGAAAACTTCAGGCCAATATCCATGATGAACAAAGACGCAAAAATATTCAATAAAATTCTGGTAAGCCGATTGCAACAGCACATCAAAAAGCTTATCCACCATGATCAAGTAGGCTTGATCCCGGGGATGCGAGGCTGGTTCAACATAATTTACAAAGAACTAAAACAGATTTACAAGAAAAAAACTAACAGGCCCATTCAAAAGTGGGCAAAGGATATGAACAGACACTTTACAAAAGAAGACATACGTGAGGCCAACAAACATATGAAAAAATGCTCATCATCACTGGTCATCAGAGAAATGCAAATCAAAACTACATTGAGATACCATCTCTCGCCAGTTAGAATGGCGATCATTTAAAAAATCTAGAGACAACAGATGCTGGAGAGGATGTGGAGAAATAGGAACACTTTTACACTGTTGGTGGGAGTGTAAATTAGTTCAACCATTGTGGAAGACAGTGTGGCGATTCCTCAAGGACCTAGAAACAGAAATTCCATTTGACCCAGCAATCCCATTACTGGGTATTTATCCAAAGGATTATAAATCGTTCTACTATAAGGACACATGCACACAAATGTTCATCGCAGCACTGTTTACAATAGTAAAGACCTGGAACCAACCCAAATGCCCATCGATGATAGACTGGACAGGGAAAATGTGGCACATATACGCCATGGAATATTATGCAGCCATCAAAAACGATGAGTTTGTGTCCTTTGTAGGGACATGGATGAACCTGGAAACCATCATTCTCAGCAAGCTGACAGAAGAGCAGAAGATCAAACACCACATGTTCTCACTCACAGGCGGGTGTTGAACAATGAGAACACATGGACACAGGGAGGGGAGCACTACACACTGGGGTCAGTTGGGGGGAAATAGGGGAGGGATTGTGGGGGGTAGGGAGCTAGGGAGAGATAGCAAGGGGAGAGATGCCAGATGTAGGTGATGGGGAGGAGGGCAGCAAATCACACTGCCACGTGTGTACCTATGCAACAATCTTGCATGTTCTTCACATGTACCCCAAAACCTAAAATGCAATAAAATACATAAATGGGAAAAAAATAATTAATAGATCTAAGTTTCAAACTTTAGCTGGTAAATATGATAGTCTTCTTTAGATATAGGTTTAACTAAGAAGAGAATGTGATCCAAGTTTTTTACTGTCCTAAATTCCCCTAAGCAAATTTTGTCAATAAAAAATTAGTACTCAAGATGGGAAAGTTGGAACATTTTTCACCTCCTCTTGAATCTAGTCTTACAGGTGTGATTTCATTGTTTCAAGTAATGTAAACTCTATACATTTCAGACATACAAAAGGTAAATGTAAACACATTCCAAAACAACTCACACACAGTGTATTTTCTCAATTTGTTAGACAGTCCCTATTGTTTACAATACAAATTGGCATATGCATGGAGAAGACGAGCTCACCCATTTCAGGTCTCTAAGGACTCTAAGGTTGTATGTTACCTGTTTGCTTTATATCCTGCTTATATCTTATACAAAAGCAGCAGTTTCACAGAGAAATAATTACCATATGCAAATACATTCACCGTGCTATAGATACTTCTTAAGTCTTTTGATTGGACAACACTGACAACACTTTCAAATTTAACTTCCATTAACACGCAGTGAAGTCTATCTGTTGTCTTTTGTAAATAAGAATGATATACTAATACATATTATTATCAGTCTATGTGTGGCTGCTTTAAGTTTTCAGTGATAACAGTTATTTTGCATTAAGTCCTGACCAAGTTCTCCCTGAGAGCAACAGAATCTTCTGAAATACTGCCGGCTGGGGTTAGCGATGCAATTTGTAGTAAACCTAGTAGACCCTACTAAGGCGTCATTAACTGATGCTCTAAGGAAATGATTCACTGACCACAGACAAAACGGAGCCAGTTTTCACTGACTGCTGTCTCATAGCACATTAACATACGATATGCTGCCCTAAAGCCCTTGACAGATATATTGCCTAGTTGGACATTTCCTTCTGGTCAACAAATTAGCTATAGAATTTATATAATTTCAACTATCAGCAGTTCTATACAGCAAATGAATCACACAGGAACAGTTACAAGATGAACATCTGTTACAAGATGAACAAACCTAAAACTCTAATATAGCTAAGTCCATCCAGAGGGATGAAACACATAATGCACATACTGATACTCTTATTATAAGTCAATTTCACCATGTTACTCAGAATGTATTAAAACAGTCTTATTCTAAGGACCTCCTCCACTCACTTACAACATCTTCAAAGCTACAATGAGTAAAAGCAGAGACTAAGAGAGAAAATAACTAACCCACAAAACTCACAAAGGTGGTTACCTGGTAGTCTGGTTTTGTAAAATAATCCAAAGAAGAGATATGGTCTAGAAAGATGCTGAATTCTGGAGGGAGATGTTTCAACATGAGCCTGTGGTCATATCTCTCCTTAATAGAGCCTACTTGCTCCTGAGAAGTAAAGAGAAAAAGAGCTCCAGTCAATTTCTCCTGGCAGTTAGGCATTAAGAGCTCCCCAGTAACAGTCTCAAGGGTATGTACTAGGAAATGACATAGTGGGTAATTAAGCATAAAGCAAGAGCTGAGCTCTTACTGACGGCTTAATGTACAGTGTTTTAAAGGAGAAGAAAACTATAATGCAGAATAAAACAAGTAGCACAGAGTTCTGCATCAGTGTATTCATAGTCCCCAAAAGAAATAATTTATTTATTTAGTTTTTCAGACAGGGTCTCATTCTGTCACCCAGGCTGAAGTGCAGTGGCACGTTCACAACTCACTGCAGCCTCAATCTTTGAGACTCAAGTGATCCACCTGCCTCAGCTTCCCAAGTAGCTGGGACTAGAGGCACATGCCACCATATCCAGGTAATTTTAAAAAATCTTTTGTAAAGATGGGGGTCTTGCTATGTTATCCAGCCTGGGCTCAAATTTTTGGGCTCAATTGATCCTCTTGCCTCAGCTTCCCAAGGTGCTGGGATTATAGATGTGAGCCATTGCACCCATCTCAAAATAATTTATCTTAAATCTGATATATTTTTCTTTATCAACACATGTCTTTACCGTTTTCTACATCAAACAATATAATGTGACAACCAAAAACTAAAAGCTTACTTGACTTATAAAAACAAAGGAGAGAACTAATGAAATTAAAAGTTAAGATGGAGGGCTTTAAATTAGTCAGAAGCAATTAGTATGCATTCTATATGTACACAGAAAATGTCATAACATTAATTAGATCTCTAATGTCAGCTCGGAGAGACAAATATACATATTGGGATACAGTAAAAGTCCTCGTAGATTTTAAGTCTTATACATGAGTATATTTTCAACAAAAATGTTTATTCAGGAGAAATTTTTATTTCTTCCAACAAAATTGACATCTCCATTCCCAATATTACCTTATCCTTTATTTTTCTCCAAGGCAGCTGACCAACCACAAATTCCACCAACATGTAGAATAAGGACCAAAGGTCATCATGTCTTCCCATTTCCTTCATAAACAAAACAGAAGTCAGTCACATTACATTACTATTACTTCTGAGTACACTACATTGGTCAAGCCCTAACCATTTTGTTTTACCTTATTAGGTGAAAAATGGAAACTTATTTCTCCAAAAAATTATATGGTAAATATATCTATAAATTTACATAGCTACATAGCAATCTATTTGACAGAATATATGAACTGAAAAAGCTTTTGAAATAAAGAACACCTCAAAACATAGAAATGCTAGCAATAACATAAACAGTCCATTAGTTAATGTGTTCATTTAGAAGAAAGAGAACTCTTAAAAGCTATTTTTTTTTTTTTTTTTTTCTGAGACGGAGTTTCACTCTTGTTACCCAGGCTGGAGTGCAATGGCGCGATCTCGGCTCACCGCAACCTCCGCCTCCTGGGTTCAGGCAATTCTCCTGCCTCAGCCTCCTGAGTAGCTGGGATTACAGGCACGCGCCACCATGCCCAGCTAATTTTTTGTAGTTTTAGTAGAGACGGGGTTTCACCATGTTGACCAAGATGGTCTCGATCTCTTGACCTCGTGATCCACCCGCCTCGGCCTCCCAAAGTGCTGGGATTACAGGCTTGAGCCACCGCGCCCGGCCTAAAAGCTATTTTTTTTAAAGGTGGAAATAAGGGAAGCAAGATGATGCTGAAGTTTTGGCTGCTCTGGAGGCATCTGTCATGAGTTTATCAACCAGGAAGGGGACAGGAGTAAAGGCATTGCACCTATATAGGACAGGAGTTGTAACTGAGATATACCCCACCTCAATCATATAGCTAGGACCCTAAAAGGGTTACATCCTTGGTGTAGTATTTGGTATATACATTATACTGTAATAATTGTTCTGTAAAAGTTAGCTGCTATTAAAGAAAAAAAAAAAACGGGTTTTAAAAAAATTGCCCTGAGAGTCTGTTACCATAGTCCTGCCCCTCATTTAGAGTTGGGGGTTAAATATGTACTTGTGTGGTCTGAAAAACCAAGCCCAGAAATTAACTTGAAATTGACTTCTGAGTAATCATGCCCTGCAGGAATAACAGAAGTAAATTTATCCTCTCAGGATAAATACATCCCTAAATTCAGATCTGATAGAAGTACTATAGAAAAATCCTCACCAAACATATGTTCGTTATTCAAATTTATAAAATATGTTAATAAATTAATGTCAAAAGAAGCTACAAAGAGCAGAAAAAAGTATCCAAGGATTTCAGAAATAGAATTATAGGATATGAAGAATATTTAAAATGTTTAAAAAATGGAGTCAAAGTCAGTGAAAAATAACTATATTCAATAAAAATGAACCAAAACCCAATCAGATTTGAAAAATGACTAAAAAGCACATCTAGAAATAAAAAGCACAATCATAAAAATTAAAAGCTCATGAAACACTGCAGAAAAAAATCAATTTGGAAAACAGATCTGAAGAAATTATCTAGAAGGCAGCAAAGAGACACAAATAATTAGAAAATCTGGTAAATAAGAAAATGAGAAATAAGAAAATCTAAGAAAGTCTAATACATCAATTTAGCCATCTGGGAAAAAGGATATAAAGAGAAAGGGAAAAAGGGAATATGAAAATCTTCCAGAATCAAGGAAAGACATGAACATTTCAGTCAGGAAATACATCAAATCCCAATCAGATAAATATTTAAAAATCCACACTTAGGCACATTTGAACGTAGGACTCCAAAGACAGAGAAGATACCAAAAGTATTAAAATAAAAAGGACAAATTGGCTAGGCACGGTGGCTCATGCCTATAATCCCAGCATTTTGGGAGGCTGAGATAGGTGAATTGCTTTAGCTCAGGAGTTCAAGACTAGCCTGGGCAACATTGTAAAGCCCTGTCTCTACAAAAAATACAAAAATTATCGAGGTGTGGTGGCGCATGACTGCGGTCCCAGCTACTCAGGAGGCTGAGGTGGGAGGACTGCTTGAGCCAGGAGATTGAGGCTGCAGTGAGCTGAGATCATGCCAGTATACTCCAGCCTGGGCAACAGAGCAAGACTCTCTCAAAAAATAAAATAATAAAATAAAATTTTTAAAAAGACAAATTAAATACAAAGTAACAATAAAGGAACAAAGATTTTCTCAACAGTGACTCAAGAAGCAGAAGAAAGTAATTTTTTCAAGTATTGAGATAAATATTAATAAGATTAAAATGTAAAACAGCAATAACACAGCACGACAGAGTTCAAGTGTTTTTAAAATTCCTTGTATTAAGAATTATTTATGTAAAAAGTTTAAGATTTAGCAAGGCATGGTGGCTCAAACCTGTAATCCTTGCACTTTGGGGGACCGAGGTTAGAAGACTGCTTGAGGCCAGGAGTTCAAGACCAGTCTAGGCAATGTAGCAAGACTGTCAATACAAAAAAATAAAAAAATAGCCAGGTATGGTGGTGCGCACCTGTGGTCCTAGCTACTCAGAAGGCTGAAGCAGGAAGATCACTTAAGCCCAGGAGTTCGAGATTATATTAAGCTAAGATCCTGCCTCTATACTCCAGCCTGGGCAACAGAACAAGGACCTGCTCTCTAAAAAATAAAGTTTAAGAAGCCAGAAAAAGAGAAATGGGGTGTATTATTTTTAGATATTATTAAATCAGGGTTGCAGAATATGGAAAAAAAGAAGCATGTTAGAATTATCTGGGAATCCTTTTAAGATTAAGACAAGCAATGAGGTTCCAAGAGTTACACTCCTGCATCACCTCATAAAGTAACAATCACTCTGAACTATGTTGCTGTGTAAAAGCATTCTACCCATCAGATGTGCTGGGAGCAGAAAAGAGGGTTAAGAACCACTTCTATATACTATCAAATTCCTCCAAAAGGTTAGATGAGTAACAAATAAGCAAGTTATCAAAGTAACTGTTAGAGCACTCTACACTGGAAAGGCTTTTAGAAGAAATCTCCACTTTGTAAATTAAAACAATAAAAGTATATACTCTCTTTCTATTAGCTATTTTGAAAATGCTTATATAGCTATTACAATCTCTGAAAATACTTATGCTAGGCCAGGCACGGTGGCTCAAGCCTGTAATCCCAGCACTTTGGGAGGCCGAGGCGGGTGGATCACGAGGTCAAGAGATCGAGACCATCCTGGTCAACATGGTGAAACCCCGTCTCTACTAAATATACAAAAAATTAGCTGGGCATGGTGGCGCGTGCCTGTAATCCCAGCTACTCAGGAGGCTGAGGCAGGAGAATTGCCTGAACCCAGGAGACGGAGGTTGCGGTGAGCCGAGATCGCACCATTGCACTCCAGCCTGGGTAACAAGAGCGAAACTCCGTCTCAAAAAAAAAAAAAAAAAAAGAAAAGAAAAGAAAATACTTATGCCTATCTTAATAATGTTTTCACAGATTCCAATTTGACATAATTCTTTAATAAAATTATTTGGAAAACCTAGTATTTCTAAACTTTTATCAGAATCTATCAGGAAAAGAAGAGAACTTCTTTCCAAGGCAAAGAAAATAACTAGGTATCATAAAGGAAAGCAACACTGAATCAAACCATATGGGTTTAAATGCTTGCCAGGGTGCTACACACTGAGAAAAACAACTTTACTATTTTCAATTTATAATCATGCCATAAGAAACCAAATTAATTGGAGCATACTATGTAAGACCACAGTATACTCTTCCTATTAGATATTGTTCAAGTTCTCATTAAAGCAATTTTGGCTTATCAGAACAGGAACAAGGAAAGAAAAGTATCAAGAAAAAATACTTTTACCCTATTCTATCAAGGAATCACTTGTTAAATGTCTCAACTCCATGCAAACAAGTTAAAGGACTGATTATCCATAAAAATGCCCACTTTTCCTGCTCATAATTAAAGTTCAGGATGAGGGGGGGAGGTTGGCAAAGAACAAAAGGACCAAAGTAAGGGGTGAAGGGAGAGATTTTTAAAATTTAACTCAAGAGGAAAGGGATAATTTATTAAAATGAAAACTGTAAAATTGTACTCATGAAAGCAAAAGATTTGGTGGAAAGAGGGATATCAAAGATTAGATACATATTACAGATAAAATGTTGAGTCCCACATTTCATTAGGTATTGATAGTATTATATTCCCAAATAATTTCTGGAAATAGTACACAGATGTTCAATGTCTTCCAAATTATATAGATACATACATATTTTTTTATTTATATATATATATAATTTTTTTTTTAAAGAGGGAGTCTCGTTCTGTTACCCAGGCTGGAGTGCAGTGGCGTAATCTCAGCTCACCACAATCTCCACTTCCTGGGTTCAAGCGATTTTCCTGCCCCAGCCTCCCAAGCAGCTGGGACTATAGGCACGCGCCACCATGCCCAGCTAATTTTTGTATTTTTAGTAGTGACAGGGTTTCACCATGTTGGTCAGGCTGATCTGGAACTCCTGACCTCATGATCTGCCCACCTCAGCCTCCCAAAGTTCTTTATTAAATTTGTTAATACTTGTATCTAATTAAGGACACAGATTTCCCACAGACAGAAATACACTCAGCTACTGTCTTTTCTGGCAAATCCAATTTTATTTTCCAAGCAGCTGCACATATCTGTTATCCACTATATACTTTACTGTACATTCATATTACCCACTCCTTTACCATCGATGCCACACAAGAATGAATCAGAACAAAGATTCCAAGTAACTTTGTAGCTATTAAAGGGATCCTCAACTCTCAAGCACTTTCCACATCTTTTTACTTTATAAAGAAGTCAATCTGATTTAAGATACTGGCATACTTATACATATATGACTCTAGTTCAGATACCTACCCTGTTCCGATGAGCGTTGATTGATGCATAACGAACTGTCCCTCGAAACCCTGCCACAGCTCGAGGCTACGACAAAGCCATGCAAAGAATAATAAATGAGCTTCAAATAGCAATCAATTCAGCACACTTGAACCCATGAAGTAAATGGAAGAAACATGTCCTTTATTGTCACAATAAAACACTATATAATTTCTAACTTTTAACTATGAAATTACAGGAAACTAGAGAGAATATCTCTAAATCACACCTTAAAAAAAACACTGATAAATTTTAATTTTCAGCCTAGTTTTTTCCTACCTATATTTTAAAATACAGAGGCATTTATGACATCTATACAACTCTGTATATTAGAAAACATTAAAAGCTTTCATATACCCATAATCATGAAAAGCATCTTAGTATATACATTAATATTCAGGTTCTGGATACAAATAAAACATTTAGATGGTGAGGAATCACTAAGCAAACTAAGATACCAAGCTCTTCATATCTTGGCTATTTCATTCAAATTCAATTCAAAGGTGGTGGCCACTTGTACCCTACCTTCATATATAATTCATGTATTAAAAATTTAAGTTATTGGGAAATTAGTACGTGCCACATACTAGAAATAACACCAACATGAAAAATATATGATCCTTGTCCAATACGAGTCCTCCAAGAATTCAACTTAGAATAAAATCCAAGCTTTTTACTTAGCCTATGAGACTTTTCATAATCTGGCATTTGTCTTCTTCCACAATGGATTTACCATAGTTTCTTTTATGACTAATTTTGGTTTAGCTCAACACAGTGAACACTATTTTCTCTAGTTGGAATGCCAGCTCCTTGAATCCCTCCAGTGGCTGGCTCTTCTACTCCATTTTAAGGCTTCTGCTCAAATGTCATTTCCTCAAAAAAGCTTTCCTTAATCACTGTAATCTAAAATACTACTCCCCCCATCTGTAGTTCCACTCTATCCCTTTACTCTGCTTTATTTCTTTCTTATAACACCTTTACTACATCCAAATCAATTTTATTTATATTCTTTTTTTTTTTTTTTTTTTTTTTTGAGATGGAGTCTTGCTTGTTGCCCAGGCTGGAGTGCAGTCATGCAATCTCAGCTCACTGCAACTCTGCCTCCCGGGTTCAAGCTATTCTTCTGCCTCAGCCTCCTGAGTAGCTGGGATTACAAGCGTGCACCACTACACGCCCAGCTAATTTTTGTATTATTAGTAGAGACAGGACCATACTGGCCAGGCTGGTCTTGAACTTCTGGCCTCGTGATCCGCCCACCTCGGCCTCCCAAAGTGTTGGGATTACAGGTGTAAGCCACTGTGCCCAGCCAATTTTATTTATATTCTTATTCTGTTTATTGCTCATTTGTTTAGACTTTAATTTTTTTTTGGGAGATGAGGTCGCTCTGTGGCCCAGGCTGGAATGCAGTGGTGTAATCATAGTTCACAGCAGCCTCAAGTTCCTGGGCTCAAGTGATCCTCCTGCCTCAGCCTCCCAAGTAGGTAGTACTACTGGAGTATGCCACCACATAGGGTTAATCTATTTTAATTTGTTTATTGCCTGTCTTCTTTTAGTCCATGGAATTTAAACTCTGTGTGCGCAAGGTCTTTGTCTTGCTCATTTTACAAACATAGATACAGGCTCTGAGAGGTATGTAACTTGTCTAAAGATACACAAATCAGTAAATAATAAAACCAGACATCAACTAAGGTCTGTTGACATTGTCTCCGTTCTACTGCTCCACAAGAATCCAGTCTGTATCCTGATGCTTCGTGGGTGGCACTGTAGCTCAATATGAAAACTGACAAACTTGAAAATGATCATAGCCAAATTTTCCATTAGTATAATTTTTGGGTTTTTTTCCTTAAGTAATTTCAAACTTTCGTCAATTAATATGTATTGCTTTTGTAGTCAGAAAAGATGACAGTAAATGTTATTTTAAAAATCCTTACCAGAATCATTTGGTCATATGTTATTGCATAACATAAACAATCTATGTGTTCTTCCTCCATTGGCTCATTTTGGTAATCTGTGTTTAATCAAGTTAGCCATTTCACTTCTTCCTTTACTAAATACTTTTTCCCTTTACTTTTGTTTTATTTTTAAGACAACTATTTTAAAATATTCTCTATTTAATGGCAAGTCTCAGTAATCAAAAGTTCCTGCAATCTTTAAAAACTCTCCATTATTTTCATTAACAATTACAGTCAGTGGATCTCAATATTTTCCTAAGACATCATGATTAACAGGAATACCTAATATTCTCAATTTGGTTGACGGAACTAAGGTTAGAGTTCTTTTTTAAAAGAAAATGTCTAAGAAAATATATGAAAGTCTACTCCAAATTTTTTTTGGTAAATGACATTTCAGAGGTTATACTTTTATTCATTAACTCACAAGAGCCTTCAGCTAACATAAATTTTTTTTGTGTTATGTAATTTTGCCCAATTATTTTCATTCTGGTAACTGTCAGAATGAAAATCTCCAGACTTATTATCACATTCTGCAGCCTAGTCCACAGTTGATTGGGCATCTAGACTTCTCCCTGATGGATTCTAGCCAAGACAAGCTCAGGAGACTCTTTCTACTTAAGAGTTTCCATGGCCTGGCTCTAACCTTACTTCTGCCATGGAAAGGCTGAAATAGAGGTAAAGAGAAATCAGCTGTTTAGAGAAATCTTGACATAAGTAGTCAAATAAATAACACGTTTGCATATCTAATTCTAATAGTAATAGAAAAGGGAATAATATCAGATCAAGGAAATTCAATTACCTTATTAAATGTAGTAAAGACAACTCAAACCCAACTGAGGAAAAACTACCACATATGCAAATGATTCCAATTTAAAGCAGATTATGATGAATACCATTCATGAAGCACAATGAGATATAAACACTCAGGAGTGGTAAGGATTAGTTCCATGTAGTAGGAGGGAAGAAGGACAAGTCTTAAGAATAGGCAGCACTTTACAGGGTCTTGAAACAAATAATCTCTTGAAACTTCCTCAATTGATGGCACTTTGGCAATATTTATCAAAATTGTAAATGCATATATTCACTTTGTCCCACAATTTCACTTCTGGAAATTTATCTCACAGATATACTTGTATTTGTACAAAAACAGTGTATGTACAAAGTCATTCACTACTATCAGTGTTGTGACAGCAAAAGATTAGTGCAACCTAAATATCTGCCAATAGGAGACACTGATTAAATAAATTATATATATTTTAAAAAGTGAGAGTGTTTAACAATCTATGAGCATTTTAACAATCTATGAGCATATTTTAATTTGATACCTAAATATTCAAATGAAAACAAAAGAGAAAAAATAAATTGAAGGACTAACAGAATTACAATAGGAAAAATGAGATGCATTTTAGGTAAAAAGAAAATGGTGAACAATGCAAAGAGGTAGGAAAGTATTGTTGGTGTTAGAGAAAAATAACTGGCATACTGTAGCAGACTGTGAGAGATAATAACAGAAAAGCAAGTTGAAGTCAGATTACAGAAGAACTTAAATGTCACGCCTGTAATCCCAGCACTTTGGGAGGTCAACATGGGTGGATCACGAGGTCAAGAGATCGAGACCATCCCGGCCAACATGGTGAAACACCGTCTCTACTAAAAATAAAAATAAAAAAATACAACAACAACAAAAAAGGTCAAATTAAGGTCTTCTTTAATTTGGTTTATAACGTGTAAATAATTGGAATCCATCAAATATTTTTAGGTTGGAAAGTAACATGATTGAGAAAATACTCTGGATAGATGATGACTCTGGGGGAAGTGTAACAGACAAGCTAAAAGGAGAAGACAAATGAGTGAGGAAACTATTTTAACAATTAAAACAAGAAACAACAAAACTAGTACAAGGGCAGAAGCAGTGTGAATGTAAGGGAGGGAATGTATGTTAGAGACAGGATGAACTCCTAGGAGAATAAATCAAGAAAGAAGAATGACTCTAGGAATGAGCCCTGGCCTATCGCTAAAAAAGGGAAAGGATCAGGGAAAAAAATGCAAGGAGAACTATGTAATAGAACTCCCAATGGAATTAAGAAAATATCTTAATTCAGCTGAGATTCTGAAATACTGAGAAAAAAAGACTTTGAAATTTTTTCTTATGTAGGTTACTACAGTCCTAGGCACTAGAAGTTTCAGGTGAATGGTTAGGAAGCAAGCAACAGGAGAAAACATGTCCTCCAAGAGCTTCAACACAAAGAGCCAGTGTGAGATGCAAGATGAAGGGCTGAAACTGGGAAATGCCTTAAAAGCAGGACACATACAAAAAATGAACAGGCAGATTCAAATAATCAGGTAAACAGAAGTTCAACTCTGAAATTATGAATCAAAGTATTGTAATATATTTAGTTTAGGACTTCTTTGTCCCTCACAACCCAACTTAATGTAACTAATACATCTTAAAGGTGATAAAGAATAGAGGCTCTCAAAACCAGCTTCATAAAGTGGAGTAACAGATACACTCCATCATTCCCTCTGTAATGCCTTCTGACTGATGGTCCTACACCATAAGATTGGTAAATAAATATACGTTTATGTTTTGAGGAAGTTCCTTCATGGGCATAGAATAGTTTTGTATCTAGATTATGTTGTTGATGTCTTAGTCCATTTGTGCTGCTATAAAACAAGTTTGCCCAACATGTGGCCCGGGATGGCTTTGAACACAACCCAATACAATTTCATAAACTTTCCTAAAACATTCTTTTTTGTATTTTTTTTTTTTTGGCTCATCAGCTATTGTTAGTATATTTTATGTGTGGCCCAAGACAATTTTTCTTTTTCCAATGTGGCCCAGGGAAGCCACAAGATTGGACATCCCTGCTATAAAGGAATATCTGAGGCTGAAAATTTATAAAAGAGGTCTATTTGGTTCACAGTTCTGCATGTAGGTTGTACAAGAAACATGGTCCAGTATCTGCTTCTGGTGAGGGCTTCAGGTTGCTTCCACTCATGGTAGAAGGCAAATCAGAGGAGGTATGTGCAGAGGACCATGGTAAGAAAGGAAGCAAGAAGGTGAGTGAAGGGGCCAGACTCTTTTTGACAACCAGC